AAGAAGTCCAACCAGAATGCTCCTTAGAAGCAAGGATGGCGAGACTACGTCTCACATAATTTGGACATGTTATCAGGAGGGATCAGTCCCTGGAGAAGGACATCATGCTTGGTAAAGTAGAGGGTCAGCGAAAAAGAGGAAGACCCTCAACACGATGGATTGACACAGTGGCTGCAACAATGGGCTCAAGCATAGTAACGATTGTGAGGATGGCGCAGGACCAGGCAGTGTTACGTTCTGTTGTGCATGGGGTCGCTGGGAGTCGGAACTGACTCAACAAATATAATGTCTTATATGTGTGTTAATAACAAGGAAACTGAGACCTTATTTGACACAATGATTAAGTCATTACAAAGAGACATACAAGACACTGAACCTTTCAACAAGTGTTTATTAAATCCCTTTCATGGGCTAGGGTTTGGTGACAGAGCAGCACAGGAGGCGGACGAAGACATTTGTTAACCGGAACTAGCTCAGACTTTATCTAACGTAGAGAGTGTAACTTTAGGCAATTTCCCTTGCTTCCTGGGAGATAACCTTTGGAATTCTCTGAATAACTGAGGTACCTCCTATAATTTTAAAACCTCCAGACTACACCTAAAGATTTATGCAAACGAATGGGGAGGCCAGCCAGGCCAGAAACCTCCTGGTAACCTGACGCCAGCTGATCTCAGTGAGGGAGGGGTGATGGTTCAAACAATCATGTTAAGACCAGCCGATCGCTGATTTTCGATTCTACTCCCTCCTCTTCTCTTTAAAAGCATCATTGTAACTAGCTTACATTGAGCCATTTGGTTTTTAGAAACAGAATGGTCTCGCTATCCCCATATAGACTAACTGCCCAAATGAACCCTATGTTTTAACTTCTTTAGTTTTATTTTTTAACATGTCCTAACATTCTAAGTTAAATACACATGAACTTTTCACCTTTAAAACTTCGAAGATTTCAAAGAAATAATAAATCTACCTCTAAAAGAATATCATTCCTAGGAGCCTTAATGATGGCTAAAATATTTAAACCAGGCACTTCACTATCATTGGCTTTAGTCTTCCACCCCCTTACCACCCTTTACAAATAAGAAAACCGAGGCTTGGGGGGGTTAAATAACTTGCACACGTTTGTGTAAACAGGAAGTGATGAAGCCAGGATTGTGGAGAAAAACAGCATTATTTCCACAGTGTACTGAGGGTTTTCAATTCATTCTTTCATTCAACAAATACTTATTTAGGACTTACTAGATGTAGCCCTGGTGGCGCAGTGATTAAACACTTGGCTGCTAACCAAAAGGTTGATGGTTCTATCCCACCAGCTTTTCCACGGGAGAAACATGTGGCACTCTGTTCCCCTAAAGATGTAC